ATATATATATAGATATATATATGTGTGTGTATTTATACTGTAAATATATATATATACCCATACACACAGCCATTTTTTTCTTTTTTGAGCTGTTTGCTGGAATTCAGCTTCATTAAACCTGAATTCTCTATTTCGGCCATACAGTCATGCCTAGGAACTCAGTAAACATTTGCTATTCTTCACCGCAGTTTTCTATTTTGAGACATTTGCGGTTCAGTTATGATCTGTAGAAGTGGATCATTACTGGTGTTTGTATAAAAATGACCTCGTCGGGTAGAGCTGATCTGTTTGCTGGACTCAAATATATGTGAAAATATAGCGGGAAATGTGGCTTTATACAGATTTATTCGTATCCTCAGACTGTGAGCTGAAGTTTACTGCTTTGTAAATGTTTGCTGAATTCGGGGGATTCTAGGGAAGATTTGTGAGCAGCCAGAAACCGTCCAGCTTGCATATCGTCTAGCTATGAGGGATGTCTATAAGTTCTATACGTAGTCAAAAGACTGCTCAGGTGCACATAAAAGAGAGCAAAACAGCACAAACCACCATGCACCATATCCATGCACCATCAAACCACCACGCGCCACGTCCGTGCACCATCAAACCACCACGCGCCGCGTCCGTGCACCATCAAACCATCATACGCCGCGTCCGTGCACCATTAAAACCACCACGCGCCGCGTCCGTGCACCATCAAACCACCATGCACCGTGTCCGTGCACCATCAAACCACCACGCGCCGCGTCCGTGCACAACGTCTCTGTCACCAAAGATAAGACGGAGATCAGTACACGATCTTCCTCTGATCTCATCTTTCACTTTCGCATTCAGCTGTCATTCCCGGCTATAGAAGCCGGCGAGAAGCTGGTGAAGCAGATCTCTGCTAGCAATAAAGTTACGAACAACATCCTACCGTCCGCCCGAAAAAACGGACGGGCGGCGGACTCACATTTGCGGGTTGCCGTCATTTGTTTCCTGCTCGCGTGCGCCCCCTATCACGCGCGCACGGGCAGGAAAAAGCCGCCTGCGTTCTTTACAGCCGTTACCAGCTTTTATTATATAGGGGGATTGTTATCCCCCTATGTCATAGCAATAACAATAAAACGACAATTGCCGTACACATGTAACATATCGCCGCGAACATCGGAGTGAGAGCAATAGTTCTAGGGCCATCAATCACTGATCACACTAAACTGATGAGCGGTAAAATCGGTAAAAGCGTTTAAAGCGTCGCCCATGGTCAATTTTGGGTGTGGTCGTCTTTTGCGATTTGGGGGCGCCAAATCCTAATGCTTGACATGTTTGGTGTCTATTTACACGACGTGACCCCGTCTTTTATATTTTAACAGAAAATTGGGGTGATAATAAATGTTCCATAACATAGAGAAACAGGTTTTTTTTCAAAATTTCCGGTAGTTTTTTTAAGTTTAATTTTTTGTAAAAAATAAAACCCCCAGTGGTGATTAAATACCACGAAAAGAAAGCGCTATCTGTCCCCCAAAAATGGTATAAAAATAATTTCAGTACAGCGTTGCATGACGGAATAAATGTCAGTCAAAGTACCGCAGCGCTGAATACTGAAAAATGGCCTGGGCAGGAAGGGGGTGTAACACCCCGGTCATCAAGCAGTTAAAGAAAGCTGAATTTCTCTACACTGTGCCAGGATTTGTAAACCATTGCAAATTTTATTATAAAGGTGAACAAACTCTTTAAATTGAATGCTGGCGAGCCAATCCGAACACATTGTTTAGATTTTGGACCGAAAACAGATGTGTACAGACCCAATGCTGTGACACTTTTGTGAACTTATATTTATGTATAACACATCACACCTTGTCTATATGACTTTTGGCTCTGCTACATAAACTCACATCAGCGACCTTTTGTACTGCCAGCTAGAATCAGCAGGAAATACTCAGCATTGACTTCTGAAGGCAAGGAAGTTGCTTACATCACAAGAAAGTAGTCGTGGCCGAGTGGTTAAGGCGATGGACTAGAAATCCATTGGGGTCTCCCCGCGCAGGTTCGAATCCTGCCGACTACGAGTCACTTTTTTTTTTTCCCCTTGATATAAAAGGTTACAAAGTATCTCATTTCTTCTGTCAGCGATTTGCTGCTGCGTAGCAACAAGAGAGTTTTATCCGGCAGACGTTGTCACAGTTCCCGGATCCCCCGCACCGACTGTGTTTGTGTGTGCCGAGCATTGCGGAGGGGTGTGCACTGCGCTCCCAACAGCTCCGTCTATCCTGTCCCGTGACCGACGCCCCCTCCCCCTGCCATGGCCGCCCCGGTGCTCACATACAGGTCAGTGTTCGGTGGTGTCTCGGCCCCCTCCCCCGGGTGGAGGATTGGTGATATTCGCTCGAAAACGTCGCTGTTTCCTGTACATTCTCTTCTAGTGCAGATTGCATCCCCCTCCCCCCTAATGCTGCCATTGTTTCTTTATTGTGCTACATTGTAACT